CAGACCGCTTCCCACTGTTGCGGCCTGAAAATCGGAATTCACCAGTGCCTGGCTTGCCTGCGTATTGCAGTCCCATTTGCTTTCTAACATTTCTCACCGAGGAAGAAACTGTTCATGTTCTGAGAAACTGTAGATTATTCTCCACGTTTATCATTAAAAATGACTTTTTTGACAGACTACAGGTCTCATGTGAAACTTTCTAAAAAAAAGGTGTGGGTGATGGTAGAGAACCTCTACTTCTGTGTGGAATTGGGGAAATGTATCACTCAAGTGTGCTGTGAAATATGAAGTCAAAAATTCCCAGTGTCAGGACAGAACTGTGTAATAAGATGGCAGAAATCTTGCTATAAATCATGATTTATTTACAGCTCAATTATTTGCATTTATAACTGGTCTCAAAAGAATTGTCCAGAATGGGACAAAACAAGAAAAATACATATCATGCCTCTGTTGAGAGGAAGAAATTATTTTATTTTTTTTCTCCACAATATGCTTTTTCTGTGCAGGAGCCGTGAACAATGTTATAGTTAATTGTTGTAGCTTGTCTTCCCTTACCACACCCCACTGCTCTGCTCAGTTGTGAAGGATATTCTTACGTTATGAATGGTCTGTGTCACCATAAAGAAAACTCTGGACTGTCCATAGATCAAGCAACTTTTAAGTTCTTAACCTAGCTCCTGGTTGTCATCCTAGCCAGATGTTTCACTGATAATCAGTCAGTCCATCATTGGAAAAGTAAGACTTTAGTCTTGCCCCAAAATGGCACGTAGACATTCCATTTTGGTGACTGTAACACTGCCCACAGCCCATGCCATTTGGGGATTTTTCTAACCAAACAGCAAGCAAGTTCTCAACTGGGGCTTTTCTTGCCTGCCTCCTAGCTGCAGATTAGCAAAAGTTCAACCTCCTCCGCTTCAGGAATGCTTGAGCAATTTGATGCCTTGGCAGCAACCACAGGGACAAGGCTGCAACGTCCCCCTCCCCCAGGCTTTGGCGTGAGGGGCAAGAAGCTGGTGACTAGCTTCTGAAGAGGAGAGAGGGCTGCTCTTGTGCTCAGGTCCACTTGCAGGTTTCCCACTGGGGCATCTGGTCAGCCATTGTGAGAAGAGGATGCTGGACCAGATGAGCCACTGGCCTCATCCAGCAGGCTCTACTTCAGTTCCTGAGCCCAGGTGAAGAGGAAGCCTAGACTCGTTTGCTTTGCTCAGAATGAATTTGCACCACCACAGCAGGAAATTTCCCAGTGTTTATTAGAAAGGGCAACATGACAACCCCCAAAATATAAAACATACACACAACCCCCCGACCCCACCATTCCCTCAGGGTGAACAAGACAGAAGTCCAAAGGCTCAAATTTTCCTCCCTTCACAGGGTCACTTCTCAGGGCCTGGGTGGGCGCATGCCAGGAGGAGGGGGACCTGGAAAGGACAGAACAGAGGCAATCAGCTTTGCAGGTGCTGCCCCAGGAGGCAGCCGTGCTCTTGCGCCCCAAGGACAACCTTGCCCCTCCCCTCCCCTCCCCTTAGTTCCAAGCTTATCAAGGGTTTCTGTCTTCCTCCAGTGAGATTCCATTCACAGGAGGCCGACAGGCAGCAGGAAAGGACTCTGGATTTGGCTTCACCACACAGCCAGCCCTTGACTCCGGCTCAAAGCCAACTCACCTCTCATGCCAGGGGGAGGAGGCCTCATTCCAGGAGGTGGCATGCCCATCGGGGAGCCTCGGCCAGGCGGCATGCCCATGGGGGGGCCCATGGGGGGCCTCATGCCAGGGGGAGGCCCCATCATCCCTGCATTGAAAAGGAAGCCACTTCAGTCCCCTTGACTCCGCAGACCACCCCTCCCCAAAGTCCCAAAGTGAACCTCAGAGTAATCCTGCTTTGACACCAACTCTTCACGGTGCTCAGTTACTGTCATTTCATCCCAGGTTCTGCCAGTCTGGGTGGGGGAGGCAACTGGGTTGCTGCTTACCTGGAGGTGGGGTCCCTCTGCCCATAGGTGGAGGGGGGCCTCCGCGGCCTGGCGCATACTGAGTGGGGGCTCCTGCAATACTGGCCGTTGCGGCAGCCGCTGCAGCAGCAACTGTCCCTCGGCTCTGAGGAGTCATCACCTGGGAGGGGAGAAGAGGCTTTTAGAAATCTGCTGCAAGTGAGATCCCAAGTTGGAGGGATCCACTGCTGTTCCCTCCAATGCCAATGTCCTTGAGCTGCCCCAGACTCCTCCCCCCCTCAAACCATTTATTGGGAGGACGTGCCTCCTGCTTACCTGCTGGGATGGGCCACCAACACCACGTACGGGGCCAGCCAAGCCTGCGGGTGCCTGGGGCATGGGAGCTCCTGCGGGGACGCCCCTTCCAGCAGCTCTGCCAACACCAGGTCCTCCAGCGGCTCCAGCCAGGGGCACGCGAGCGATGCCAGTCTGAAAGAGCCAAACAATCACTGTAGCAGGACAGTTTTCCAGTGGTGGTGGGGTTCTTAACAAAAAACCTACCATGCTCAGCAGTGAGTCAGGACACCGCTTGCATAACAATATTTTTTAAAAATCTGGGGGCGGACGGACACATACATTTATCTGCTTCACCTTTGTCTTCCCAACCCCAAAATCTGTCTTTTCTCCCAGCACTCCCCTGAAACTCTTCCAAGTTTCTTTCTTCCAAGTACCACAACAAGGAATATTTGGCTGCCCTTCTCCTCTCTGCCACCATTAATCCCCATCCTCTTTGATTGATTTCTTACCCCTCCCTGGTACTCTCCATGTTGAATTTTGATTCTGTGCTATTCCTGATATGTAGAAGCAGCAGACGTTTCAAAATAAATATATACTGGCATGTCCTTTAGTTCCAGAAGCAGACTGTAAATATTTTAGAGCAAACCCCAAAAGCCAGACTTAGTCGAGGCCTTGCAATTTTAAAGGGGTGCTGTCAGGACCCCTCTGCTAAGCTATTTTGGGAAGGGACAAGAGCACGAGAAAACATCTCCCCTAATCTGGCTTACATCTTTGGGGGGTGGCCCCTCGACTGTCATGGAGACCAGATTCTCTCCTCGCAGCAACACCAGGCCCAGCACTCGCTTCTCTTCCCGCTCGGGCTGCTTGGAGTTCTTGGGCCTAGAAGGAAGGAAGGAAGAAGCAACCCAAAGCTGTGTCACAAGCATCTCTGCCTCCTACACCTACCTTTACAGGGGGTGAACTGTGGGCCCCTCAGAGAGGTGGGTGACTTATGCCACACTGGAGGGGGGTCAAAGGGGGGGGGAGAGAGACCCAAGGGGGCCCCCAGGCAGAAGCACCACCTTCCCTGGGGTCCTATGGACTGAAAGGAAGGCCTGTCCTTGCTGTCTTCGGAGAGCCTTCCAATGGCCCTGGCCCTTCCCCAAGGAGGACCAGGAGGGGGAGACCCCGGCTGCCTTCAGGGCTCCTTTGGTGGGGTGATCTCTTGCTCCTGGCAGAACTGTCCAGATTGTGCCCCCTAACCAATGACAAATGAGCTCTTCTTTCTGCCTCTCCTCCACACCCCCATTCAATTCACCCTCTATTTAAAACCTTTTATGAGGCAAGAATCAATATTCCTATTTATAGACATATTTATGGGCACATTTTAAGCCGGTTTAGCAGTGCCACCCCAGCCTGCGCCCCTGGCGGGGGCCCACCTCCCCAACCCCAAGCTATAGCCCTGGTTGCAGATGCCCCTCCTTCCACCCGACTGGTTTGTGCCTCAGGAGGTGTCATGAGGGGCTGGGTTGGGGGCCCCTCCTGGGCCGGCCTCTGCCGGGGGGGGGCAGGTTGCTCACTTGATCTTCCTGAACTCATCGCAGTCGCAGAGGATGAGGTTCATGTGCTTGTCGAAGGCCTTGAAGGTGCCGATGAAGACGCGGCCGTCCTGCAGGATGCAGCGCATGCGGTAGTCGATGTGCTGCAGCATCTTGCTGCTCTTGCCCACCGTCTGCGGGGGAGGGGAGAGGCGGGGGGGGGAGAAGTGTGTTAGGTATTTTGAGGTCTTAGATATATGGTAATATCCATAACCGCACGTACATAGATCAGCACAGGAAGACCGACCTGAAGCCATTTTGATTCCTAAACTGAGCAAATGTTTCCTCTGCAAGGTCAAAGTGGAAAAGCCTCCCCATTGTCTTTTCCTTCACAAATCCTGTCTTAAGCGTATGTCTGTGTTTGAGTAGGGTGTGAGCCTGTGACCTGGCCCAGGAACTAAGTATTTATCATTACAAAAGACTGGCCAGGCTCCCCAGGCAATCCAGTCAAGTGACCATTAACAGGTAACCTGCCAGACAGGAGATAAACAAGGACAGGAGAAAAACAGCATTCAAGTCTCTGTTTAGACTGTGATGTCTGTATGATGTTTCTGGGGGTGGTCTTGATCTACAGGGTGGCAATTTCAAAAGTCTTTATAAGGCCTGGCGCGCCATTGTTCTGGGTCCCTCCTCCTCTCTCCTGGGGGTGAAGGGAGGACCCCTGTTGCAACAGATCAATAAAGATCAGGCTTCCGAGCTGCTTTGCTTCTCCATATTCTCTGCTTGGCCTCTGTTATTCTCTCCTACCAAAGGACTCTATATGGGCTCTTGGGTCCCCCATTTTGTTTGCAACAGGAGGAGGGGAAGGGGCCCCCAATCCCGCCCCCCTCACCATGCTGGCGGTGGCGTCGGTCCTCCTTCCCGGCGCGGCTCCCCTTCTGCCTTCCTTCCTGCCTTCCTTCCCGCCGCCGCCGCCTCACGAACCAAAGACGCGCCTCGCGCTGCCTGAGCGGAACCGGAAGCGCCCGCCGACCGGACGCTCCCCGCCACACTTCCGGTGCCCGGCCCCGCCCCTCGGAGGCGGGGCTCGTTGCCCGGGCGACCGCCCAGCGCGGCGGCTGCGGAGGGGGGCGGAGCTGCGCGGTCTCCATGGCAGCCGGCGCCGGGCGACGAGGCCCCGCCTCCCCGGCCGGAGAGAGACGGAGCGGAGCGGGCGCCAATGGGGGACGAGGCGCGCTCCTGAGTGGCGGGCGCAGCTGGCCAATGGGGCTGGGCGGCCGGGCGGGAGGGGCGGGACGCAGCCGGGTCCGCGGCCGGAGGGAGAGCGGCGTCGGCGGCGGAGCGGAGGGTCCCGGCAGCCGGGTGAGCGCGGGGGGCGGGGAGGGCGGCCGGCCTCGGGGCGGGGGGGGGCGGAGCGGCGACTCTCGGGGCTCCGTTTCCCCCCTCCCCGCCCCCTCGGGGCCCGGCGACTTCAAAGGGAGCCTCCCCCCCCCGGACGCCGCTCTGTGTGTGGGGGGGGACACGGGCGCCCCCTGCTGGGCCTGCGGGACACCGGCCGGCCCCCCATCTGCGGACAGAGGCCCTCGCGGGCCGCCTCCCCCGCTCCTGCTGCTCTGGGGAGGCCCGTGGGGGGGGGGCTCCTGGAGGCCGCCTGCTGGGAGGAGGGAGGGAGGGAGGGAGGGGGCGACCCCTCCTTTGGCCTGGAGGAGCTGCTCGGCTTCTTCCCCCAACTGGGCGCCCGGCAAGCATCTCCCCCCCCCCCGCTGGGACCTTCCCATAAGCCGCAGCTTTGGGGGGGGGACTCCTGCTTTTGCCCCCAGTGGGGCAGCGGCGCCTCCCTGGCCCATCTGGGTGCCCCATCTCTGCTCCCCCCTCCCAGGCAGGGTCTGTGGGTGGGAGGGCCTGGGGGGGGGGCGAGAGCGCCTGGTCCTGCGCTGCCCAGACCCCCAGTTCCTGCGGGAGAGGAGGGGGCAGCCCCACGGGCTGCAGGGCCCCCCCCAGGAATAGCCCCCGAAATGCCCCCGGGCTTCCTGTCGCCTGGCTCCTCTGCAGAAGGAGGCTGGTTCCTCTTCCCTTCCCAGAAGGAGGCGGCTTCCTCATGGGCTGCTGCTGCTTTTGCTCTACCAGAACCTGGATGGGGAGCCACACCCGGACTTGCCTGGGGTGGGCAGCCCCCTGAGCCCCCCCAGTGCAATGGACAGGTGGGGCGCTGCAGAGGGGCAGTTGGGGGAGAGGCAAAGGAAGGGACTTGGTGTGGGGCAGCTGCCTGGTGGGCTTGCCAGCATATGGGGTTTGCCATGCCTGATGGAAGCCTCTGCCCAGGCATTCAGGGCGGGACGTTGGAGAAAGAGCCAGCAGAATGCATGCATGTGGGCATCCGGAACAGATGCAGCGCTAGCTAAATCTCGGGTTCGATCTGCAGTGCCCTTTAGTTCAGGGGTCCATCCCTGGGAGACCCAGCTTCCTGGGCTCACTAACATGAAATAGTTTCAGTTACAGATAGGTAGCCGTGTTGGTCTGCCATAGTCAAAACAAAAAAAATTCCTTCCAGTAGCACCTTAAAGACCAACTAACTTAGTTGGTCTTTAAGGTGCTACTGGAAGGAATTTTTTTTGTTATGAAATAGTTTAGCGCCTTCATCTTCACCTCTCTTAAAAACTAAAGGGCAGATCATAATGGTCAACTGTGATGCCCTTAAAATATATTCAACTTTCCTTGGAAAAACAGGTTGGGTTGGATGTATTGTGTATGTTGCAGCGTGCTTTATTCCCCCCCTCCAAAAAAAAAAAAAAAGACCCGTTCAAAAACTTGCACAGCACATAATGACCCCCATCTCCTAGCAAAACTAAGAGTCGGTCAAATAAAGCTACTGAACTGGACCTCCAGCAGGGAATTTGTTGGGCGGTTCCCTCTCCTGCTGCTGCTGCTGCTGCCCTCCTGAGCAGAGAGGGAAGGAGGTGGCACATCCCCCAGCCCTCCCAGAGCAGCAGCAGCAGCAGCCAGGAGAGGGTTAAGTGCGCCTGGCCTTGAATAGGAGGCTGGTGGTGAAGGGGAGGCAGGCAGAGGCACCAGCTGCTCTGGCCCCTGCAAGGCAAAGAGGTGCTGAGCCCGTGTCCTCCCTGGCATCCCTTGGGAGGGGGTCTGGCTGGCTGCTGTGGTCAGGAGAGGGGCCCCTCACTCGCCTACGCTTCCTCTGGGGCAACTCCTTGGCAGAAGAGCAGAGCTGGGGCATCCGGTAGCGCTGCCCTGCTTCCTTGCCAGGCTGCCCTCCCAGCGGCTTCCCAGCTCTAGGAAGGTGGGGCTGGGCAGTCTTTGGGGGCAGCCCAGAACTGGACCTGGCCAGGACAGCAGGAGGTGGTGCTGGGTGCCTCTGAGAGCAGGGCCCCTCCTTGCCAGGTCTTTTTTGGGGGGTGGGGGGCAAAGAGCTTGGCTAGCCAGGGGGCTGGCTCTGCTTGCCAGGGCTTTGGGCCTGTGCAGAGGCTGGTGCTGCTGGGTCCTCAGAGTGCCCACTTGAGGGGGCATCTCTCGGGCAGAAACCCCTCTGCCCTGGAGCTGACTTGCCTTTCCCCTCTGGCTAGGTTTGGGAGGCCCATTCCTCGCCCCCACCTGTGAGGTGGCCGTCAGCCAGGAGGGATGCCACCCCCGTCGGACATTGTCAAGGTGGCTGTGGAGTGGCCGGGGGCCAACGCTCAGCTGCTGGAGATTGACCAGGTGACGGGCGCAGGCTGCTGGATCTCAGGGACCACATCTAGCATCCTGTTCTCACAGTGGCCAACCAGCACCTGAGGTTCAGAAGCCTGGCTGCCTCCTACTGGGGGTGGGCTGGGGCAGAGCTGAGCCCACGTGGCTGGTAGCCATTGAGAGCCCTGTCCTCTGACCCTCTTGGAAAGCCCTGCTGGCCAAGCTGCTTCCTGTGGGAGGGAGTTCCAGAGTTCCACTCTGCTCTCTGCTAAGAAGGGCTTTCTTTTCTCGGCCCTGACTCTTTCAACTGTCAGCTTCCTGGGGTGTCCAGACCTTCTAGTGCTGAATGGTGGGGGGGCTGGGGGGGGGCTGATCACCTGGCGTCCAGAGGAGAGTTACAGTTCAGGCTTCTCTTTCTCCCCCCTGCCTCTCTCAGAAGCGGCCTCTGGCGTCCATCATCAAGGAGGTCTGTGACGGGTGAGTGGGAACCACGACTGGCTTCATGGGGGCCACGCTAGCCTCTCCCCCCCCACTCCAGCCAGCTGCTTGCTTGGGGCTCTGGAGCTGCTGGATCCCCTCCTCTGAGCCCCCCAGCTGCTCTTCCGGCTCCTGAGTGTGGCTCACCTGCCCCCCCCCCGCTAGCTTGCTTCCTGAGGGAGGAGGCTGACATGGTCCTTCCCCCCCTTAGGTGGTCGCTGCCCAACCCAGAGTACTACACGCTGCGCTACGCAGATGGGGCTCAGCTGTACATTACAGAGCAGGTGCGTGGGAGCTGGTTCCTAACCCCCCATCTAAAAAAGCAGGGAGCGGGCCATGGGGTGCCATGCAGCTCCTTGCAACTGTGATCAGGGTGGGGGCCTTGGAGGAAACCCACAGAAGCAGACCAGGAGCCCCGCTGGGGGGCCTCCGCTCCTCTCCCAGTCGTGCTAAGCAGCCCCCCCTTCTTGCCTTTCAGACCCGCTGTGACATCAAGAACGGGACCATCCTCCAGCTGGCAGTTTCTCCAGTAGGTCTGGGCTGCCTCTGGGGGGTGGGTGGGTTCTTTATCCCCCTTTGAGGATTTGGAGCCTGCTGGCTGGCTTTGGGCTCAGGGCACGAGGCCACTTCCTCTTGTTCTGTCTCTCCTGCCCGGCTGAGGGGAGCCCCCTGGAGGGGTTGGGGGTTTGCAAGGGGCTAGCTGTTGCCCTGCCCCCCAGTCCAGGGCCGCCCGCCAGCTGATGGACCGGACGCAGTCGCACAGCATGGAGGCTCGGCTGGAGGCCATGAAGGAGCTGGCCAAGCTCTCTGCGGACGTGACCTTTGCCACAGAGTTCATCAACATGGACGGCATCTCAGTGCTCACCCGCCTCGTGGAGAGCGGCACCAAGCTCCTCTCCCAGTAAGTGGCCATCCAGCACCAGCAGCGCTCACTTCCCTGAGGGGCTGTCCTTTAATGTTGACAGTTCTGGCCTTCTCTTTGCTCCAGCACTGCAGCCACTTGGAACCCCCCGGCCTCTTCTGGAGCAGGGTGCTCTTGGTTGGGGGGGGGGAGCAGCTGCCCCAGGGCTGCCAAGCAGGCAGGGGAGGCAGCAGAGACTTGGGCGCCACCTCCCTGGCAGTGTTCCCTTTGCTCTTCCGCAGGGCCTGGCTTGGGTTCTGTTTCTCTCCTCCTGGCATGGGTGGGGGCAGCTGGGATTTGATGCTGGTCACTGGGGCACAGAGAGGGGAAAGGCCACCGGCTAGAAGACAATCCTTCCAGGCCAGGGTCTTCTCCCCATTACTTAGTGTTGTAATGTAAGAACATAAGACAGACCCCCCCCCCACTGGATCAGGCCCAAGGGGGCCCACCAAGTCCAGCATCCTGTTCTCACAGTGGCCAACCAGGTGCCCACCTGCGGTTATCGGCAACTGGGATTCAGAAGCATGGCCGTCTCTGACTGGCAAAGCCGAGCCACCCAGTGTCCTCTTCGCCTCCAGGCCCTGGTCTGATCCACTCTGAAAGCCTTCTAAGGTGATGGCCATCAGTTTAGTTGCACTGTGCGAAGAAGGACTTGGTTTTATCAGTCCTGAATCTCCCAGCATTCAGTTGCGTGGGATATCCACAAGCCCTGGCGTTAGAAGACAGGGAGGAAAACGTTCCTCTCTCCACTTCCTCAATGCCATGCATGATTTTACAAACTTCCATTGTGTTGCCTCCTACATTTTCTCTAAAGAGGCCCAAATGCTGCCACCCTTTCCTTAGCCAAGCCTTCCTAGATGTGTAACTTGAATCGGCTTTTTAAACTTGGTTTTATCTGCATTTTGGCAATGGCATCCTGCCTGCTGTTTTCGAAGTCTGTTTTCATTGCCGTTTGTAATGAATATTTTATGGTATTATATATACCGTTTAATATGTTTTTTAAAAAAACTGTTGAATAGTTAATTCAATATCCACGTTGGCTTTGAGTGGGCAAGCGCAGGGAGGCCTTGAGTCTCTTGAGCAAATCCTCCTCTGTCACTGCCAGGCCTTGGCTGGCTGGTCACTCTGAGTGCCCAGCCTGCTTTGCCCTTCCCTTATCTGCTCTGGTTCTCCAGACGGCAGCACATCCCACAGGCGGATGGTGGAGCCGCAGAGCATGGAGGGAGCGCAAATTCCTGCCTCTGGGTTGCAGGTGCTGAGGACACTAGGAGGCCCCAGAAGCAGGCGGCTGCCTTTCCAATTGCCCACTAAGTGCTGACGTGAGACTGCCAAGACGGTGCCCGGTTGCAGCTCTGCGTCGCCCAGCAGAGTGACTCTCTGGAGGGGCTGCCTTGGCCAGCCATGAGTGGGGAGAGAGGGAGCCCTGAGGGTGCCCTCCCCCCCCCCCACTGATCCGCCTTCCCCTGTGCCCCCTGCAGCTACAGTGAGATGCTGGCATTCACCCTGACAGCCTTCCTGGAGCTCATGGACCACGGCATCATCTCCTGGGACATGGTGTCCATCAGTTTCATCAAACAGGTACAGCCTCCGCGAGTGCAGGTGGCAGCGCTGGGCGATTGCTGCTTTTCAACATCTCACCCACTAAACATCACGATGGACCACTATATTGCCCTGTCGGAAATAAGGATGGAGCTATGCAGAGCCATCGGCTGGCTTCACAGTTTCCCCCTCATTGTGATCTTTGCTGGCTCCTGCTCTTGGGATCCGCTGCCCTTGCATGAGGCAGGGCAGAGCTCAGCTGGCAGAGTTAACAGGGGCTGCGGGAACTGAGAGAAGCCTTGGCTGGCTTCGTGGTTTTTCCTGCATCGTGATTTTTGCATAGCAACCGTGATTCGCGATATATTGCCAGGTCAAAAACAAGGAAACTGATACAGTGGTACCTTGGTTCTCAAACTTAATCCGTTCCAGAAGTCCGTTCCAAAACCAAAGCGTTCCAAAACCAAGGCACATTTTCCAATAGAAGGTAATGCAAAATGGAGTAATCTGTTCCAGGCTTTTAAAAACAACCTCCAAAACAATTTAACATGAATTTTACTATCTAACGAGACCATTGATCCATAAAATGAAAGCAATAAATAATGTACTGCAGTCACACAATGAATCAGTAGCTGAACTGGGTTCCACACAGTCACACAAAAAAAGAGCTGCAAAAACAAAACAAAATAAATAGCAAAAGCCGACAGACCTCAGTGTAACACTCAAAAGGGAAGTGTGGCACTCAAAACGGAAGCGTAACACTCAAAACGGAGCATGTTTGGTTTCCAAATTGTTTGAGTACCAAGGTGTTTGAGAACCAAGGTCCCACTGTATCACAAAATGGACTTCAAACCAGTTTAGGCAACAGTCCTAGCAGGCGGCACAGGAGAAGGGGGGCTCCCTGGGCGGGGCAGTGGGCATGCATGCCTCTGGCGCTCAGCGGCCTCTGCCTCCCCCCCCCCCCAGATTGCGGGCTACGTGAGCCAGCCGACGGTGGACGTCTCCATCCTGCAGCGCTCCCTGGCCATTCTGGAGAGCATGGTGCTCAACAGCCAGAGCCTCTACCAGAAGGTTGCCGAGGAGATCACCGTGGGGCAGCTCATTGCCCACCTGCAAGTGTGAGTGGCGCCTCCCGCACCCCACATCCTGTCAGGGTGGGAGGAGGTGGGGAGCCGCCTGCCGCTCACCCCCCCTTGTGCCCCTGCAGCTCAAACCAGGAGATCCAGACGTATGCCATTGCCTTGATCAACGCCCTCTTTCTGAAGGCCCCGGAGGACAAGAGGCAGGTGGGTGGCTGAGGCAGGTGGGTGGCTGGGCAAGGGGGTGCCATGGGGAGGGAGGGCAGGGCACCAGCCCTTGCACTCCTTCGCTGAGGGGGGGCAGGGGGAGGAAGGTCTGCCTCCCAGGTCTGGCCAGTCTGTGGATGTGCTGCGTGGCACTGCGTCTCTGTGTCTGCCCGTCTCCCCCCCCCCCGCCTGCCCTCCCTCCCTGCGAAGGGTCTCTGTGCTGACTCTTCTGCCGGCTTCTCTTTGTGTCTTTCTGCTTCCTGTTGTCCGCAGGAGAAGCTCCTTAACCCGCTAGACCTGCCTTGCACTGTAAGTAAATCCCTCAGCCCAGGAGGCTCCTCTCTAAGAGCACTGGTGTTTTCTCTCTTCAGAGCCAGAAAGGGGGATGGAAATGTCTTGGGAATAAATAGAGAGAGACCCCCGTACCCTTCCTCTGCCTCCGCCTCAGAGGCAGCCTGCTCCGTCTCCGTCTGTCTCCGTCTCTGCCTGTGTCTGTCCCTCTCTCACACATCTATCTGGCTTGCACACCTTGCATGTGTCCACAGGGAGAGGAGATTGTGGCCGCCTTCTCCTCCCTGGTTCTTTGGCTGCTGAGGCTTAGGGAATCTTCTGAACTCAGGGCAGCGTTTTTGCCCTCCTGGACAAGCCGTGGGCTGTAAGCCAGAGGACAAGCTGGGCTGCAGCTCCTGGCTAATCTGGAGAGGGCAAAACCAGGGTGATTCTTTTTCTTTCCCCCTGCCACCGCTTGGGTCTGTTGTTGTTGCATCCTGTGGGGTGCGTGCTCTGTGGGTGCACAGGGACGGGCCCAGAGGGAGTGCAGGTGGCCTGGGCTCCTGGGTGGGGCTGCTGAGGTGGGGGCTTTGGGGGTGCAGCTGCTTTGGGTGATGGACAGCCAGAGGACTCTCTGAGGGTGGGAGCGGCCCCTTTGCTGAATGGCTGCGTTGCCTCTGCTTGGAGCAGGCTGTCACGGCACTGCTGGGCTGCTCAGCACCCTCCCCCCCCCAGAGGTGGGGCACAGTTGGAGTTTCCTCTCTTTCTCTCTCTTTCTCTCTCTCTTCTGTCAACCCCCAACAGGAGATGGCCAACGCCTTTGCTCAGAAGCACCTGCGCTCCATCATCCTGGCAGTGAGTAGGACCAGGCTTTGACCTTGACATAGCCGTGCCTCTGGGCAACCATCTCAGCCCCGTCTCAGGGCACCCAGTCTTTGTGGCCCCCCCATTGCATGGTCTCTGGCCTGGCCAGGCAGCCGCCGTTGCTGCAGGCTGTGGGTGTTTCTGGGCGCGGACGGTGGGGGCTCCTGTTCCCTCCAGCCAGCCAGGTGTGTCCCCCGCTGGTCAGGGGCCAGAAGGGGGACCTGGCCCTGCTCACGCAGGGAGGGGTTGGCAGGTGAGCCTCTTCCACCTCCTCCCTCCCTCCCTCTCCTCCCGCAGCACATCATCCGGGGCAACCGCCCCATCAAGACGGAGATGGCCCATCAGCTGTACGTGCTGCAGGTCCTGACCTTCAACCTCCTGGAGGAGAGAATGATGACCAAAATGGACCCCAGCGACCAGGTGACTGGCAGGACTGTGCCCCCCTCTGTGTGAGCGGCAGCCTCTGCGCTGGGCTCACGCTCTGCCCTCTCTCCTCGCTTGCCAGGCCCAGAGGGACATCATCTTTGAGCTGCGCAGGATCGCCTTTGACGCCGAGTCGGAGAGCAGCAGCCTCCCTGGGGGCGGGACAGAGAAGAGGAGAGCCATGTACACCAAGGACTACAAGATGCTGGGCTTCATGGTAGGCAGCCCCCCAAGACCCTCAGGCCGGGGGGGGCATCTCCTCATTCAGCAGCCTGTTCTCCCCACGGCCAGGCAGGTGCCCCAGAGGGAACCCCAGGCCAGGCCAGAGCACTAGAGCAGCGCTTTCCCCTCCTGCCGTTCCAGCAATGGATATTTGATTCGGTTTCATATTTATGGTCCACTTTTCCAGCCACAAATGTGGAGCTCAAAGCAGCTCACATTCATCACAACTGACATTGCAGTCGCTATTCTGTCAAACACAGTAACATGTAAGGAAAGCAAACAACAACAAATTCATCGAAAAGATTAATACACTTAAGTAAATTTGTAGTATTTCAAAATTCCAGAAAATATCAGAAATCATTCATCAAAACTATTAATGCGATACAAAATTCCCAAACTTGGGTCTCCAGCTGTTTTTGGACTACAGTTCCCATTATTGCTGGCCACTGGTCCTGCCGGCAAGTTTGCTAGCCCTCTCTTGGAGCCATCCAGGCTGGTGGCCCTCACTGCCTCCTGTGGGAGGGAGTTCCACAGTTGAATTTTCTGCTTCCTTTTCCCTGCCCTGAATCCCTCAGCAGTGGGGACCCCGTGGGGGCAGCTCCTTCCTTCTGCTGCTGACAGCAGGCGCTGATTTTTCTCCCGCGTAGAACCACATCAACCCTGCCCTGGACTTCACCCAGACCCCGCCGGGGATGCTGGCCTTGGACAACATGCTCTACCTGGCCAAGTGCCACCAGGACACCTACATCCGGGTAAGCGGGGAGGGTGCCCCCCCTGCGAAGGCCGAGGCTCCTGGACCAGCCCCACCCCCTCACTCTGCTCCCTTCCTGCCCTCCCCACAGATCGTCCTGGAGAACAGCAGCCGGGAGGATAAGCACGAGTGTCCCTTTGGGCGCAGCGCCATTGAGCTGACCAAGATGCTATGCGAAATCCTGCAGGTCGGGGAGCTGCGTAAGTGGAGGGGGGGGGGAGCACCCACAGAGTCTTCTCTCTTGAGCCCTTGTGCCAGAGGGGACCCTCTCCCCCGCCCCAAAAAGCCCCTGGGCAGGCTGAGCCAGCCCAAGGAAAAGGGTCTGTCTGTTCCATAGGACAGTTTGGCAGCAGAACAGCCTCCCTGGGAAGATGGCGGGCGCTCCTTCTCTGGAGGTTTCCTAGAAGAGGTTGGGGGGGCACCTGCGGGGGGCTATTTGGCTATGGGGACTGGTCTTGTTGACCCTCGAGGTCCCTTCCGTTATTCCATGGCTGGATTGTGGGCTCTGCTGCACAAAGGGGAAAATCGCTTTTCTGGCTGCACCCGATAGTTGCCACCGGCGACATGTGGCCCCTGCAGCTGCCTGTGCAGGAAAGTGGCCCCTGGACTGAAAGGGCCCCCTCCAACCAGGGAATTCACGTTGCTTGACTGTGGCCACGATGCCCCTCCCACGTGCTTGGCTTCCTCTTGCTCCCTGGCGCTTCCCTGAGGCGCCATCCTGGCTGTTCTGACCTCCCTCCCTCTCCCCCCCAGCCAACGAGGGACGCAACGACTACCACCCCATGTTTTTCACCCACGACCGCGCCTTTGAGGAGCTCTTTGCCATCTGCATCCAGCTGCTCAACAAGACCTGGAAGGAGATGCGGGCCACGGCAGAGGACTTCAACAAGGTGGGGTGGCCGTGGGGCAGAGGCAGGGGGTGGTGGGAGGGGGCAGCTGCTCTCCAGTGGGCAGGGGTCTCCCCTTCCAGTCCAGCTGGGCCATCTCCCCTTCCTCCTCCTCCATAAGAACAGAATGCCCCACTGGTCTGGCCCAGGCGAGGGAACACACTTTTAAATAGCAAGGAAACCAAGAGACTCGCAAGCAAAATCACCTTGTAAGGACCCAGTTGATTAAAACTATTGCACAATAGGGCAGCCTTGCCAGCGAGCAAAGACTGCCTCAAAGGACATTTGAACAAAGCTTTTATTGGTATGCATCACAAAACATCATGGCATGTATCAAAAGAGGTTACAGGTCAAGGAGTGCCAAAAGTCCGGCTCTGCTCTGTTTTCAGCTTTTGTACTTGTCTTCTGGCCTTCAGTAAGGAGAGGCCTGTTGACATTCCCTTATCTTCCTTCCATGTCCCTGGAATGCTTCAAGGAGAAGCTTGCTTCGCCCTCCTGACTCTGAATACACCTCCTTGGCCAGCTGTTGGCGCCCTTCTAGTAATACCAATAAACTTCCCACCCTCCAGGGTCAGAGAAGCATGGAAGTGCCATGCAGGAGGGAGGCCTGTGAGATTTGCCAAAGGCAGGAACACGAGAATCCAATCACTTGTGGATACATTGACACATCATCCTATAAAAGCGTGAAACAACTCTGGCCAAATTTGCACTGAGAATCTAACAGAAATTCTCTATCAGTGGAACAGGTTCCTGGATCAGCCAGAGGTCATCCATCTAGCCCAGCACCCTGTTCTCACAGTGGCCAGCCACATTGCAGATGATGGGAGACCCATGAGCAGGATCTGAGTGCAAGAGAACTTTTTCCTACCTAGGGTTTCCAGTGATGGCCATCAAGAAGCATTCCTGCTACTGACCAGGGAGGCAAAGCAGAGCCACTGTGGTCAGTGGTCTCAATAGCCCTTTCAGAGCCATCCTGGCCATCCCTGCCTCCTGCAGGAGGAAGTTCCACAGGTTAACGATGCTCTGCGTGAAGAAGCCCTTCCCTCCCTCGGTCGTTGGATGTTCTCACACTTCAGGGAGAAGAGCTTCCCTCTCCCCCCCCCCCCGTTCTCCCTGCCAGGTGTAATTTTGCCCCCCTCTCCCAGGTGATGCAGGTGGTGCGGGAGCAGATCATGCGGGCGCTGCCCTCGAAGCCCAGCTCCCTGGACCAGTTCAAGAGCAAACTGCGCAGCCTCAGCTACTCGGAGATCCTGCGCCTGCGCCAGTCGGAGCGCATGAGCCAGGACGACTTCCACTCCCCGCCCATCATGTGAGCAGCCGCTTGGGGGGGTCAGGGCTGGGGGTGGCGCCTGGCAGGGGCAGCGGGGGTGCTCACCGGCTGCTGTGTGGCCGCCCCCAGGGAGCTGCGGGAGAAGATCCAGCCTGAGATCCTGGAGCTCATCAAGCAGCAGCGCCTGAACCGCCTCTGCGAGGGGAGCAGCTTCCGTAAGATCGGGAACCGGCGGAGACAAGGTGAGGGCAGCAGGGAGGAGAGGGCTGGGGGGGGGAATCCTGGCCACGGCTGGCTCTGCAGGAGGGGAGGGCTGCTCTTGCCTTTGGGTCCCCCCTCTGGGACATTTGCACAGTTCCTGTGAGCTATCTTATGTCCTTATGGAACCTCCAGCTCCAGAGGCAGTCTTCCTTGAGTCCTAGATTCTATGTTTAGGGAAGTTTTTAATGACTGATGTTTTAATGCATTTGTAATCTTTTGTTGGAAGCCGCCCAGAGTGGCTGGGGAAACCCAACCTGATGGGTGGGGTATAAATAATCATAATTAGGCATTTGGCCCCCGTGGCTTGATGGCCCCCCCCCTTGGTGTCTTTCATTCTTTCCAAACCTTTCCAAACAGATGGTTTTCTCCTCCAGCGTAAATCAGAATCTTTTCAGGGCTGCCTCTTCACTTGCCAATTATGTCCGGATTCAAAGGTATTCCACGGCTCGCCATGGGAGCTTGGTGGGACTCTCCCAGGATGGAGACATTGAGCCCAGCGCCCTTGCCTTTTCATCTGGGAGACGGGGATTTCCATCCCTTCTCACAAACAAACAAAAAGGGCATTCGCAGACGACTGTGGGTCGTGCCCTTTTGATCTCCTTGAAAGGTATGGGGCTACATGCCCCTTACCCCCCATTCATCTCCGTCTGGGACCCCTCCTGGGCGCTAGAGCACCCGAGAGGGCAACTTGCCAGGTTTTCAGTGATTTCAGAGAAGGGGCCTCCCAGCTTTCTTATGGTCCGTGTGCTGTTGTTGTCGCCCCGCAGAGCGGTTCTGGTTCTGCCGCCTGGCTCTGAACCACAAAGTGCTTCACTACGGGGACCTGGAGGACAACGCCCAGGGGGAGGTCACCTTTGAGGCCCTGCAGGAAAAGAGTGAGTGCCGTGCCAGGCGGGGTTCAGGCAAGGCACTGGGCAGGGGCTCAATGACCAGCCCTCTGGGCAAGGGCAGCCAGCAGCCCCCGGGGGGGCTTCTGCTGTGATTCCTGCCTTGCAGGACCCCCGGGGGTACCTCCTCCCAACTCTCTGGTTCTGTGGAAGAGGGAAGGGGCTTCTTCTGCTGTTCTTGCCCAGCCTGACCAGCAGCCCCTCTCCCTCTCGCCCAGTTCCCGTTGCAGACATCAAGGCCGTCGTCACTGGGAAGGACTGTCCGCACATGAAGGAGAAGGGAGCTCTGAAGCAGAACAAGGTAGCTGGCTGGGGAGGGGAGGAAGACCCGGGGGGGGTGTCCTTGGCAGGGGGTGGGGACTGGCCTCCTTGGCTCACCAGCCCCTGCTCTCCCTCTTCCCATCCACAGGAGGCTCTGGAGTTGGCCTTTTCCATCCTGTATGATCCGGATGAGACCCTGAACTTCATAGCCCCCAACAAGTACGAGGTGAGTCAGGAGGGAGGGGAAGCTGCCTTCCTCCCAACAAATGGCCCTGCTCCTGCAATGCGCTTCCTCCTCCTGGCTGCAGTTCCGAGAGTAGAGCTGGAAGGCACCCCAAGGGCCATCTAGTCCAGCCCCGCCATGCAGGAATCTCGGCTCAAGCATCCCTGACAGATGGCCATCCAGCCTCCAAGGAAGGAGAGTCCCCCACCTCCCGAAGGGAGACCCTTCCACAGTCTAACAGCTCTTACTGCCAGAAAGTTCTTCCTGGTGTTTCACTGGAATCTCCTTTCTTGTAACTGGAAGGCATGGGTTCGAGTCCTGCCCTCCAGAGCAAGAGAAAACATGGGGCAGCCCTTGAGAGGTTTGACGACGGCTCTCACATCTCCTGTCACTTCCTCTAGGGAAAGGGCTGTTCTCTCTGAAGTAAGCCCAGGCCACTTGGGGCTTTGGGGCTTTCACAAAACCAGGGGAGAGCGTTTGTGGGTGAAGCAGAGACTGTCTCCTTCCTCTGGGGCCCAGAAAATCGAGAGGAGGACTGAAAGGGGGTGGGGGCCCTGCCTTTTACCCAGGAGGCTTTCTTGTGCCCCTGCCTCCCAGCTAGGGAAGCCATCCCTGGTCTCCATGTGGAGATACTTAGAGCAATCTCTGCGTCTGGCTGCCCCATCTGGGCTGCTCTTTCTGCATTTCCCCCCCAGCTGCTGTGCTGCACCTCTGCTTTCTTCAGCCCCCCGCCCTTGACTCTTTCCTCTCCGTCAACCTCAGCTCCTTTTCTCAAACCTTGCAGGGCTGACCATGTAGCTGCCCACCAACTTCCTTCCTGCCTCCCTCTCTCTCTCTCGCCTGCCTCTGCAAAGCTGCTCAGTCTCTGGGGAGTCGGGGGGGGGGGGAGAGACGTGAATCCCGCCATGGAAAATGGAAGGGAGCTCAGTGGCTGAGGGGAGAGGGACGTGGCCGGGTTTGAGGAGCCTGATTTTCTTGCTTGGTTTTCTTCTGAAATAATGTACATTGCTTTCCAAAACGAAAGGTTATGCAAAATTCTGCAAATTGCAGTGTTATCAGGCAGGATCTGATGGCAATATACAGTCCATGTACAGTTATAGATCACGGTCAGGTAAAAACAAGGCACGAAATACAACCCAAAGAAATTAAACGGCAGGTCCGTGAGTACATGGAAGGGGGCATAATGGCAGAGACAAGGCGAGGGGGCAAGACGTGGACCCCGTTGTCTCAAGGGAAAGGAAGGAAGGTTATTAGATGCCATTAGATGGGAAGATATTCTTGGATGAGGCCTCTGAGTCCGGCATCCTGTTCTCACAGAGGAGAGGACTCCCTGGGAAGCCCTTCCTGGGAGGTTTGTGAGCACGTGACCCTCGGGGGTCCCTTCCAACCCCACAATTCTATGATGAAGGAAGCGCCCCCCCCCGCTAGCAACATGTCAGGGGGCATGAGGAGGGGCAGCCAGGCCACCCCCACCCCCATGGTCCCTCCTGGGGTCTCAGGTCCCTCCTCCCCTCCCCCGCAGTACTGCATCTGGATTGACGGCCTGAACGCCCTTCTGGGGAAGGAGATGGGCAGCGACCTGACCAAGAGTGACCTGGACACGCTGCTCAGCATGGAGATGAAGCTGCGCCTGCTGGACCTGGAGAACATCCCCATCCCGGAGGTGCCCCCGCCCGTCCCCAAGGAGCCCAGCAGCTACGACTTTGTCTACCACTACGGATGACGCCCCTCGGCAGCAGAGGAAGGGTGGCGGGGGGGCAGCCTCAGGCCCCCTCCAGCGCATGCCCAGGACCTCTTCTTCTTGCTAGGGGAGGGGGGGGAGGGAGGGGGCCTCCTCTCCAACTGCGGAAGGAGGGATCCTGCTGGGCAGTCGCGTTTGGGGTTTTTTATTTTATGCTACAAGACTCTCCCCTCTATGGCAGCTGTTCTCCGCCCTGCAGCAGGGGGCAGCCAGAGCTACTCCAGAATCAGCCGGCTGCGCTGGAGGGCTGAGCGTGCTCTGAAGCCCCCCCCCCCCCGTGGCATTCCCTGCAGGTCCTTGGTGTGCCTTTGCCTGGTGTGCTTGGCCTGAGGCCGCTGGGGGCTCTTGCCTTCCCCGGGAAGGGGGCACGGCAGGTGGGGGCTGGCAGCAGAGCCTCATCCATGGCTGTCTCTGGGGCCTGCCTTGTAGGGGGCTGGGCGAGGGGGCCCCTGGGGACCCTTTCCAACTCTCCCATTACATGGTTCTCTTACTTTCCAGGCAGGCAGGGGCTCCATCCTGTGAGCCCAGCAGGGGCAAATGCAGCCCGTGGTACAGCTTCTGCCCCCCCCCATCTAGGCTCCCCTGGGTGGAAGAGCACTGAGACGCCTCCCCACCGACCCAAGAAAGGCTGCCAGCCTAGCTGCTTTCACCTGTCAGTGGGGCACAGTGCACAGGCTGGACCTGGCATGCCCCTCCCCCCCTCCCCGATCTTTGCATTAAAGGCTGTTTCCTCCTTTTTGCCGGCTCCTGTTTCCTTCTTGCACAGACCAGGCTGTGGGAGGGAAGACTGCCCAGGCTGAAGCAGAAGCGGACTGTTCCCTGGGAGGGAGAAAGGGCTGCCTGCTTCTTGTGGGTGCCAGTGCCTCTCCCCACCCCCCCCACCCCAGGCAGAAGTGAGAGCTGCCTGGTGAAGATGGTGCCAAAATCCTGGATTTCAGAGGAGAAGTGAGTGGGCAGCTACACGTCCCATTTCCCCTCTGAAAACTGGCAGTAAACACCGGAGGTTCTGCTCTTGCAGGTCTTATTTTGAGCAGAATATGGGTGCATGTGAGGCTTCCTGTGATTTTGGAAGACTGGGGACACAGACCCTGCTTGCGAGGGCAGCCCAACCCTTCTCTGCCTGCTGGGCAGGGGGCTGTGTCTTGCCTCCCCACATCGAAGGCTTCCGCTTAAACCCTGTGGGCACAATCACCCCTGTTGTCCCCCTGCCCCTGCTCCCTTTTCGGAGTGGCTGGTTGGATTCCAGCCAAATTTGGGCCACTTCATGAGTGGAGCATCGCTGTCAACCTTCCCTTTTTTTTTGTGGGAAATTCCCTTATTCCAGCACTGTTTCCTGCTGCTATCCCAGAAGGTTAGATATCCCAAAGACTCCCCGGGACAGGTGAGGCTGCTGATCCCTTATTTTCAAATCTGAAAATTGACAGCTATGGAATGGAGGGGGGTCAGGTCTAGCCAGCCAGGGGCCCATGGATGCCTTGCGGGGCCTGGACACCCACCCCTAATTGGTGGGGATTCTGGGAGACACTTGGACTTGGGGCCTGTCCTTGGATGTTTGGGGAGACCCTGGAAGAGCTGCTGCGGCAAGGATGCTGCAGACGTTTCCCAAGAGCAAGCCATGCCAGGCTCAAGGCCGCTCTGGATCTGCCCGCTGGGTGCCTCCGGGAAAGGTGGTGGGTGTTGGAGCGCAGTGACAAGGGGATCAGGCCCCACAGCTGCCTTGCTCACCTCCCAGCCAGCCAGGTGCCCCTCATGGGAGTACCAAGTGGGACTCAGGGGCAGCAGCCCCTGACGGGCCCATAATAATAATAATAATAATAATAATTTATTATTTATACCCCGCCCATCTGGCTGGGTTTCCCCAGCCACTCTGGGCAGCTTCCACAAAGACCAAAAATACACTAATATGTCATACATTAAAAACTTCCCTGAACTTCCTGCAAGTGGGCGGCAGCAATCAGAGTCCGGACCTGGGTTCGAATTCACCCCCGGCCCGTGAAGGCCACGGGGAGTAACCTTGCGCCAGTGACTGCTTCGGCCTCGCCTACCTCGCAGGGGGAGAACCAGGCTGAGCTCCTTGGACCAGAAGCGGGGCAAGAAATGCCACGCCCTCCAGGAAGGGAGCCGAGGGGCGCTGCGCCTCCCCAGGGTCCAGTGACGGCAGGCGCCGCCAGGTGGCGCTCGTCTTCGCCGCCGGAGAAGGCGGGGGGGGCCGCTCTGGCGCGGCGAGTCTCTGTCGTCCGGCCGGGAAGGGGCGGGGCCTGTGGCCGGAAGCGGCTGTCGGGAGGGCGCGGCGGGATGCGGCCCCCGGGGGGCGGCGCGGGGTCGGCGGCGCTGGCGGCGGGGCTGGTGCTGCTCTACTACGCCTTCTCCATCGGCATCACCTTCTACAACAAGTGGCTCATGAAGGTGGGCGGGCGGGGAGAGGCGCCCCTCCCCCACCCGCCCCTCCCCTCCCCTCCCGGCTCACCCCCCTCTCCCCTCCCCCCCCCCGCAGAGCTTCGGCTTCCCGCTCTTCATGACGCTGCTGCACCTGCTGGTCATCTTCGCGCTCTCGGGCCTGGCGCGCCGCTGCGCCCGGAGACCCGCCCGGCCGCTGCTGCCCTGGGCCGCCTACCTGCGCCAGGTGGGCCCCGCAGGTGAGGCCGCTCCCTCGGCTCCTGGGAAGTCGGGGTGGGGGGGGGACCCAGGCACGGGGTTACGTATCAGCTCAACGAGCTCTAGCTGAAAGGTCAAGGGACCCCTGACCCTTAGGTCCAGTCGTGGCCGACTCGGGGGTCGCTGCGCTCATCTCGCTTTACTGGCCGAGGGAGCCAGCATTCAGCTTCCGGGTCATGTGGCCAGCAGGACTAAGCCGCTTCTGGCGAACCAGAGCAGCGCACGGAAACGCCGTTTACCTTCCCGCCGGAGCGCTACCTATTTATCTACTTGCACTTTGACGTGCTTTCGAACTGCTAGGTTGGCAGAAGCAGGAACCCAGCAAGGGGAGCTCACCCCGTCGTGGGGATTTGAAGTGCCGACCTTCTGATCAGTAAGTCCTAGGTTCTGTGGTTTAACCCACAGCGCCACCCGCATCCCATAGCTCTAGCTTAGGCCCCCCCCCAAAAAAAATTAAAGGAAAAAAACATGGAATGTACATTTCCAAAACATATGATAAAAAACAAATAAAATAAAACTGATATACAGCAACAGTGTTTTGCTTTGTGTTGTGTAGGTTCTTATTTGTTATGTGCAAATGGCTTGATATACCTATTAGTTCTGTTAATTACCATCTTGCATATATTCAAAACAAAAAACAGCGACAATTTGCTGTTGACAAAGGACAGCTGGACATAGAAAGGACCCCATTACCTTCAGTAGCTTAGGGCCTTATCAAACCTAAATCCGGCCCTGGGGAGACCATTAGCCTTGTATTTCTGCACAAGCAGGCAGGCAGGACCAGAAGCATCAAGGCGAAGGGGCAGGACACACCTCTCCACGCCTTCTTTCACGGTTTGTGAAAATACGCCTGCTCATGTGGAGGGCAGCAGTTGGTTCTTTTCCCCTCCTGATCCTCACGCTTGGAGTCCACAGGGAAAGGGACCCAGGAAAGAGATGAAAAAATGCGGAATGTAAAATTTGTGCTTCCATATTTTACTGCCGGAAGAGGTGGAGGTTGGGCCAGTAGCTCAGTCACAGGGGAAGAAGGTAGCAGCTAGTCAAGATGCCTGACTGAGGAGCCTCCATGTGCAGAGGGAGTCTATCTCCGAATGCTAGTCACTTGGGGGCAAAGGAGAAGGGCTGCAGCCATTGTCCTCATCTTGGGGGCTTCCTGGACACATCTTGGCTGACTAGCTGTGGGTGAGACAGCCAGGCTGACCTCTTGTTCGGTCCTCTTTCTCTTTGCCACTCAGCTCTGTCAACGGCCCTGGACGTGGGGCTCAGCAACTGGAGCTTCCTCTACATCACCGTCTCGCTGTGAGTATGGGGTGGGGTCTTGTGAAGACGCTGCCCGTCTCTCTTGCCTGCCTGCCTGACGGCCTCCTTCCTCCCTGGCCTTGCAGCTACACCATGACCAAGTCCTCGGCTGTCCTCTTCATCTTGTTCTTCTCTCTGGTCTTCAAGCTGGAGGAGCCGGTGAGCGCCCAGCCCCTGACCCCCCAAGGCTGAGCGGGAGGGGATCATTGGGCCTGCAGGCACCAGCTAACCTGCACTGTTCTTCTTCCCACCAGAGGGCGGCGCTGGTGCTGGTGGTGCTGCTCATTGCGGGGGGGCTCTTCCTCTTCACCTACAAGGCGACGCAGTTTGACATGGAGGGCTTTGCCATGGTGCTGGGCGCCTCCTTCCTGGGCGGAATCCGCTGGACGCTGACACAGATACTTCTGCAGAAGGACGAGCTGGGTATGTGCCCCTCTGGGGCGGGTGTCGGGGGGGGCAGGCGACACCCTGCTCCGTTTCATCCTCCTTGATGGGCTCCCCCTTCTCACCCTCCTGGCAGGACTCCAGAATCCCATAGACACCATGTTCCACCTGCAGCCAGCCATGTTCCTGGGCCTCGTCCCCCTCTTCGCTGCATTTGAGGGTAAGTTGTCTGGGTGAGGCGGGGAGAGAAATGGCACCTGAGCGGGAAGCAGCAGAGCAGGGGATCCAGGTGCAAATCTTCTCCCAGGGGAGCTGTTTCCCAAAAGGGTGCTTGTCTGGGGGTTTCTTACTCTAGGGCAGTGGTTCCCAACCTTTTTTTGGTCGTGCCGCACCTGAGCATCTCTAAAATCCTGGTCCCCCCATATAATGTATAATTCTTATTATTCAAAAAGTGAACTAATCACGTGGAGGAAGCTTAAAAGGCCATTAACTGTTAATAACTCATTCTCAAATTGCCCCCCTGTGCGGGGGGGGGGGAACCACGGGGGGGGGGGAACCATTGGGAACCACGGCTCTAGGGCATTCACTGGGGTCCAAGCAGGGTTTTAGGCTCCTTCTCCAAAGCTGCTGGCTGGTACGTTCATAGCTCCAGTCATGTAGAAGGGGGGAGGGAGAGATTCTGGGGAGAAATGGGGAAATGTATAATAGTCTTTTGTCTGGTGTGGACAGAATGTGCTGGGTGGTATCCATGCTCTTAGACCCAGGGAAGCGAATGGAGGTGGCTAGACAGCGCCCTGTGATGGTGCATCGTGCATTAGTGGAAGAGAACAATGATCAGGGGGAAAAGCCACGTCCGTCAGGCTACTTTGGGCTGGTTCTTTAGTTCTCGGCAAACAGAAGTTACAAATTTAGAGCTGGAGCTGCAAGACAGGGCAGCACCCAAAAGCATCTCAGTTGATAGGAAATTTTTAAAAACATCAACGTTGAAAATCAAAAATGTCACCACTGTAGAAACCCAAATGCTGTATTTCGACTTGGGAATTATTTGTTTGCCTCAGTGCAGTCTTGCGGCCACCAAAGCAGCTCCTCTTCCTGTAGGAAAAGCTCATAGTGGACCCCTCAGCCCCCCCCCCCGCAGGTGGTCAGGCAACTTTCCTGGTCAGTTGCAAGGAATATTTTCCTTGGTTGCGGAGGGAGAGAAACCCTTGGAGTGTTTGTCAATCTGTTGTTGGCTTTTTGCAGTATGGTAGCGCTGCAGAGAGCTTGCTGGGGAGACCATGCATTAAAAATGAAAAGGACTCAAAAATAACTTAAACAAGGTTTTAATAAGAAAAACAAAAACTCCTTTTACACTAAATACATTAACAACCAAACCAGACCCAACCACCACCCCAACCCCCAGGGTAATGGGAGAGCTAGGTGCTGCTCCTTATATACTACACCCAGATGCTGACACACCTTAATCAAATACAACTCAGCAGCACCTGCTACGTTTCACAGCTGTAAAGCTGGGTCTCGTTATCTTGCTCTGGCCCTTGCTCTGGCCCCTGAAAGACATACACATCGAGTGGAACAATGATGAACCTTTACATTTAAATAAACCATTCAACATCTGTTGCTGAGTTTCTGCCTGCTCAAAGGTGGGTTGGCCTCTCCAGAACAGGGCTGAGCTTCCCTGGGCCCCTGGCTCGGCAGGAGCAGCCCTGAGGGCCCCTAGGGCTGAGCACCCTCCCTTGGAAGTCCAGCCCACGGCACTTGCTTCCTGAGCCCTCTCTCTCTCCCCCCCCTTCCTCCTCCCAGGCCTGCCCTTGTCTGCGTCAGAGAAGCTCTTCCGTTTCCACGAAGTGGACCGTCTGCTGGGCCTCTTGGGCAAGCTGGCCCTGGGGGGGCTGCTGGCCTTTGGGCTGGGCTTCTCCGAGTTCCTCCTGGTGTCGAAAACCTCCAGCCTCACCTTGTCCATCTCTGGCATTTTCAAGGTATTGGGTGGCCTTTCCTCCTCTGGCCCTTCCTTGCCCAGCCAGTCGCCTCTTGCTTGGCCCTGGGTGGGAGCCCATGAGTCTTTGGGGTGGGGGTCTTCCCTTTGTCCCAGGGAGGCCTGAGGGGCTTCTGTGCCCCAAGGACAAAGACTCAGTCCACCCCCTTCCCAAAATGAGACTTTCGTTCGGCTCCTGGCGGCTGTGACTCGCCCCTGCTCTTGTCCTCAGGAGGTCTGCACTCTTCTGCTGGCCACACACCTCATGGGAGACCGCCTGAGCCTCTTGAACTGGCTGGGCTTTGTCGTCTGCCTCCTGGGGCTCTCTCTCCACGTTGCGCTGAAGGCTCTCAGTGCCACAGGTAATGCTGGGGGTGGTGGGGTCTTGGGCTTCCTGCGCAGCCAAGGTTTGGGGTGGGGGCCGGAGAAGCCCTGCTGCCTGTTGGGGGCCGGCCGACCAGTGCCTCCTTCTCTGCGCAGGGCAAAAGGGCGCCAGGCAGCCCAAGGAGTCTTGCTCCAGTCCGGACTTGGAGTTGCTGCTGCTCCACCACCAGGAGGAAGAGGACCCTGCGGGATTCCCCCAGCGCTGAAACACGCCAGCAGCTCAGCCAAGAGAGCCCAAGGCAGGGGGAGCCTGCCACCCCGGAGGGCTTCAAATGGGGGGGGGCTCGGGACCCCTCAGAAGGGAAGAGGCTGAAGCACTTGGGCCCTGGTGTTATGGACAGATCTCGGGGGTGGGGGAGCCTCAGGAAGCTGGGCGGGTGCAGGTGCTGCGTTGGGTCTCCGTGGCTCAGAGAGGGAGCTTGGGGGAGGCTGTAAAGTGCGACTGACGGTGCCATCCTGTGGGCCTTCATGGATGGCGACATTGGGTGCCTCCTTTCTGCGCCCATCTTTGTGCCCTCTGGCCTGCGTGCCCCTCGGGGTCGGAGGCAGTGCCACGTGAATGTGTTAAGAAGCGAAAAGGCTGTGGGGGTTGGAGGACCAGCTGGCGCTTGGGGAGACCAAAGTGTTGGGACCAAAGTGGGCTGAGGCCAGAGAGCAGCCGAGAGGCTCTGGCTTTCTGCTTCTGGGTTTGCAGCAGTCCCTGGAGTTTGGAGGGGTGGGCATCACGGTGGTCTCAGAACTAGGCACTTCTGAGATGGTACTCAGAGCTCCAGCTACTGAGGGAAGCAGTAGAAACCCGCCACGAACTTGGGCAGGGTGTGGGCAGAGAGAGAGTTGGGCATAGGACCAGAAGGTAGCCTTGCGGAAAGCAGGCTGGGAGCTGGAGTCCTGAATGCAGAATGCCTGGACCAGTCAGGCTGCCTGGGTGAAGAGGAGCCCTCGCTGCTCACCTCTGCGCTTGGCGTGAGGCTCCCTTACTGCTGACATCTTGAGGACATGGGAGGCCGGTTTGGGAGTTTCCACTGCCCATCTCTGGGCTCTGGAGAGTAGCATTTCAGTCTCCTGAACCCTCTTCACCCTTGCTTGGAAGTAAGTCCCATGGAAGTCATCCGGATTTGCAAGCAAGCATGTCTCGGATCGCAGCCTTGGGGAAGAATGTGGCAGCCGCCTTGCCAGTTCCCCTCACCCCCAGCTGTGGCTGCTCAGAATGGCCCTGGGCAGCTTGCCAGAAGGACACAGGGTGGTGCTGGCAGCCGCTATCACCATTCAGAGGTGTGCATGGTATTCTGAAATGCAGCTGTGCCATCCATTCAGATGTAATGGTGGTGCTTGTGGTTTTAGTTGGACCAAAGCGGGTCCATCCAGCCCGGCCTCTGGCCTCCCAGAGTGGCCGGTCAGATGCCCCCAAGGGAGACCCCCAAGGAGGACTGAGTGTGGCAGCAGGGCTCTCCCCACCCTGATTTCTGGAGGCGGCATGGAGTCGCGCTCTGTCCAGTCGCCACTTGCAGCCACTCTGCCTCTGTGACTCTGTCCCCGGCTAAAGCCAGCTGAGCTGGTGGCCATCACTGCCTCTCCTGGGAGCAAATCCCAGAGTTTAACTCTTCACCGTGTGAAGAAGGGCCTCCTTCTCTCCCCATCCCAAATCTCCCTCTTCCTTGGTGACCCTCCTTGGGTTCTAGTAGCAGGAGAGGGAGGAAAACCTTGCTCATTTTGCCCAGTTTCACCCATCATGTTTCCATTTTCTAACCTCAGCCTGTTGCAACCTTTCCTCAAAGGGCAGCTGCTCCAGCCCTTTAATCTGGGGGGGGGGGGGGAGCTGTTGGTTGGTTGCTTTTTCACCCTTGAACATTTTGCCCTCCGTTTTCTAGAGATTTTTCTAGCTCTGTTGTGCTTCTTCTGGAGACGAAGTGAGCAGAACCAGACTGTATCCCATATTTAGCCACCATAAATTTTCATAAGGAAAATGAGATGACCCGACTACCCTTATGGAAATCTATGACAGGATCACACTTGGAATCCTGTAGGCGGCTTTGCTTTTGATCCCTAATGTTGGATTTGACACATTCACAGCTGCTGCACATTCACTTGACATTTCCAGCTCCCCACTGCAGCCCCAAGATCCCTTTCCTCACCCGTCACTCGGAGGATGTACAATCACATTGAACCACATTTGCCTTTTGTCACCTGGCTGGCTTGGTGGCAGGAGGGGAACCCTGGGGGTCCCTTGGCTGTCCATTTCCCCCCACCATTCTCAATAATGTGGTGTTGTCCACAAACTGGACCAGCTCTCTGCTGATCCTTTGCTTTGGATCCTTTATGATCAAGTTAAAAATCGTGATAAAAAAAATCCTTCCAGAAACAAAAGCTCATACCAGTAACCAACTTGGTTGGTCTCTAAGGTGCTACAGGAAGGAGTTTTTTTATTTTGTTTTGACTACGGCAGACCAACACGGCTACCTACCTGTCATTAAAAATCATGGTTCCCTGCATGGAGCCTCTCTTATAATAATAATAATAAATTTTATTTATTTCCTGCCTTGCAGGAATGCAAGGATGTTCATTCCTCCTCGCTGCTTCCTGTTCAAGCAGTTGCCCTTCCAGGAGAGGGCCTGTCCTTTCCTTCCATGGCTGCTGAATATGCCTCATATCTTGGGAACATTTGGTGGGAAGTGGAGTTTCTGCAAGAGAGGAGAGTTGCCTCTTTGCTGAGCTTGTTAAGATTCTTGAATTCCCCACTGGTGTTAAGTGAGTGACCTTCATTCCGCGGCTGAGGAGGGTCAGGGTCAGGCCTGGCTGGCCCTTGCCTGCCTGATGCCCTGAGCAAAAGGCTTTGTCCTCCTCGGCCCATTGTCTGCCTGGCCTTTGATTTGCAGGGACAATTTGCTCTTGTCTTGCTCCTCGCCTGCTCTAAGCCCCCGTGAACTGAACTGCCTTCTTGCCTGCCCTTTTCCTAATTTGCGGTCAGTGCTCTTACTTTGAGATGCAACTACAACTGCCCTTCAAGACAAGGCACGTGGGCAATTGTGTTTAGTTGAAGAGCAGCCGTGGCAGAGATGCAGAGAATCCCCAAAGCTGCCAGGGAGAATCCCAAGAGCAGAATATTCTGGCGGGGGGAGCCTGAAATGTACATTCCACAAAAATGCACAGCTGCTTTCAAGCATCCAAAGACACCCTATAAACTTCTTAACAAAGGAAGTGTAATTGTCTGTGTGTTTTAAATGTTTTTAGTATAAGTTGTTGAATCTGCAGTCTTTTGGAAAAGGTGTGATTGTGAAGAAAGACACCCATGTTCTCCTTCGCCTGGAGGGGAAGGTGTTCTGCGGCGTCAGGCCACAGATCTGGACCTGCCAAGGAGCCGTGTCCTTGCACCTCCCCCCCATACAGCCCCACCTCTCAGTCCCAAGGACCTCGGCTGCTGTGGCTGTCTGGGACCCGCCTGTGCTGTGCTGAGCTCTGCCCCTGCCCCCTGCTGAGGAGGGGGGCTTCTTGGCCCCCAGGTGCTCTGCCCCAACCAAGCTCCACCAACAGGAGGGAATTGGGAGATTCCCCAGAGTTCTGCCTGTCAGCCCTTTCCTCCTCCATGCTGGGCACGACTGGAGTGGCCAGGGGCCAGCCACTGCTCCATGGCAACGCTGTGGGAGGCCAGGGGTGTTGCTGTGTGCTTGCATTGGTTCTGGAGGAGCCATACTGAAGAAGGCCCCCTCTCTGTGCAGGGTATCTCAACATGGGAAGGATCCTTTGCATAAGCTGGAAGTGACCGTGGGAATAGAAATGGCGGGGGGGGGGGAGTTGCCAAAAGCAAGGGAGAGTGGAAATCAGCCATAAAATCATCTATCCCACCTCAAGATACTGTAGATGGTGCAGCAGCAGAGAAACCACTGCAGAGAGCAGCAGGAGGAACGGCCTTAGGGCCTCTTCCCTGGGAAGAAGGATGGGGAGGAGGGAGGAGGCAGCTGCCTTTGGGCATTGGTGGTGGGGGAGGGGAAGGAGGTCTCTCGCCCTCTGCCCTTCCTCAGCCTGAGAACTGAAGCAACGCTGAGTTGCCAGTCTGAAGGGCCCAGAGGAAGAAGGGCACCTTCAGGTGAGGCTGGCTTAGCAGCGACAGACTTTGCCACAGCAGCCTTTGAAGCATAAGAAAACTCTGATTCATGGTGGGATGGAAGTGTCTCCTGTGACGGGAACCCGGACGACCAAGCACACCATCTTGGGGAGTGGGCAGGAAGAGACAGGTGTTTTCTTTCCTGCCGCCCCAGTGGCTTTGGCCACACTCAGGAAGCGGGCAGCAGGTGGCGCTGCTGTGCCAGGCGCCCGTCTGCTGGGCTGCTGCTTCCTCCTGCATGCGTTTGGCCTGCAGCTGCCAAATGAAAACCTCAGCAGCTTGGAGGGCCTGGGTTGGGGGGTCTGGGGGGGGCAGCAGGGCCTCTGAATCCTCTCCTTCCTAGGCAGCGGGTCCTGCTGTGCTCTGCAGGTTCCTCCTGGGCTCCAAGCTGTGGAGCCGTTTCCAGGGGGCGCTGGGAAGTCCCACTCCGATGGCCCCTGGCATTTGCCCCCTGCCCCTGCTGAGGGCTGCTGGAGAAGGGTGAAGAGGCAGCTGCCACTCAAGGTGTAAAACCAAAGATCCCCTCCTGGATCAGGCCAAAGGTGGAGGGCCCCTCACCTGTCCTGTTCTCGCACAGTGGTCAGCCAGGTGCTGCAACAGGAAGGTCCACAGGCAGCAAGGCAGGAGCACCTTGGCAGCAGCTCTTGCATTCCCTGGTCCCTGCTGCTCTGATACTCTGCAACTATCCTACTTTCAAGAGACATCTGAAGGCAGCCCTGTTTAGGGATGTTTTGAATGTTTAGTGCTGTATTGTGTTTTTAATATTCAATTGGGAGCCACCCAGAGTGGCTGGGGGTATAAATAAATTACTATTATTACACGTCCTTCACATACAGTGCTGCTCCTCCCCCTTGCTTGGTCTATTCCTTTTGAACAGATCATACCCCTCAGTTCCAAATTCAAGCCATGTCTCTCATCCCACCAGGTTTCAGTAGTCCCTACCAGGTCATATTTGCCATCCTGTATTAAACACACCAATTTTTCTTGCTTGTTTTCCATGCTCTGTGCATTAGTTGCCCCTCTACTAATGTGTAGTATGGGAAACAAGCAAGACGAATGCCCTCTGGGAGTTGTTGGGCTCCACCTCCCATCATCCCTGACCATTGGCCTTGCTGGCTGCTGGGACTTGGCCAGTGGTGGGTGGAGCCACAGGCAAAGATGTCTATGGAGTGGCTGGTGTGAATGGGACCCTTCTCCACAGACTCTTGCGCCCCTTGCACCCTGTTTCATTAGGCAAGGAAGAGGCGTTCTCTCGGGGTCAAGAACCAAAACACTCAAGGACGGTGCCAAGGAGGGGTGTAGTTTGAAGTGGGGAGGCCTGGGGGCATAGCCAGGGTTTATGTTAGTGGGGCAGGCTTTATATTGGGGGTGGGGGCAGAACCCCCGTTAATTATTTTTATTGATTTACTTGATTACCCACCTCCCCCGGCTACACCCATGCCTGGAGGGATACGTTCGAGCCCCAGACCTGGGCTCCTCTCCTCTGCAGCCATCATGGCAGGGGGTGCCAACCCAGTGCCCAGGAGCACAGGGCTGCTTTGGTGCCCCTGGGATAAACTTGAATTCCTAGATTCACAGCTTTCATTTTTTAAAAAAAATGTAAGGTCAAAGCATCTTTCGAAAGATATGAGGCAACAGATATGGACAGCAATTGTTTTGTGTGTGTGAGAGAGAGAAATTCGCCTTCTTCCTTTCAGGGTTTCCTCCCCCCAGAAAAATGGATGCCCATATATGTGAGAGAGGGAGAGTTGGGCTTTGTGAGGGGAGGAGAGACTGTGTGTGGTCTGGTCTGCAAGAGATGCATTTGGGCAGAGGGGGGGGGAGATGCATTTGTGGTGGGAGGTGAGCAATGCATGTGTGTGTCGGGTGTCCATGTGCATGAGAGAGTTTTGCGTGGGCACCTGGTACATTTTTGCTGGTGCTGAGAAATGCTCCCTATTGTTAGCCAGCAACACCACCAGTGGGGGGGGGGGAGCACAGAAATTAACATCAACCAGCAGACACAGCTGACTTCTCATGGGAAGTTGAGGAGGAAGCCACAGTGACTTCTCTCTCTAAATGTGTGATGCCATGCTCACATGGTGGCCGTTTTGTGACTGGTGCCCACATCACGGTCTTAAAAGTGAACAAAGGCATTCGGCCAGAGATGTGGAAACTCAGATTTTGTTCTTCTAAAACCGCAGAAAGCACAAGGTGGGCTTCCTTCAGGGGCTAAGTGAGCACCAGGAGCTGTCAGAGAGCAGGTTGTGATGTGTGGGGTCATGGAAGGAAGGGGGCAGGCCTTGAGGAATCCGGCCTCTAGTGACTCAGGCCTAGGAGGGGGCTGGCGTTTCATCCTGGGTCTCCCTGTGCTGCTCCCACAGCCAGTTGACACAACCAATTGTGCCTCAGCTGGCAGTTGCCATTAATATACTTGGGAGCACAAGTTGTCTGCCAGAGTCGCTGTCGGAGGAACTCCATCATTTCCCCAGCGATAAGACTTCGTCTTTACAGAGCATTTCCTCTTAGGTATTCCAGGTGTGTTCCATGCCATCATTTCAGCAACCCTTCCAGCGCTGCTGTGAAGGCAGACCAGGCTTCCTACCTCCACTGGGGGGGGGGGGAGGGCTGTGAGGCAGATGGAGGCTGCCTGCCTGAGGCCAGACAGTCTCTGGGGCCTGGGTCAGCCTGGCACTTGGCCCTGGGCCCCCCATGGGCTCAAGGCAGGCGTCTCCCTCCCTGGCACCTCCTTCAAGTGGCAGAGAGAAGGCTTTGCCTCCCCAGCTGCTGGGGGCCACAGCTGCAGTGCCCTCGCCTGCCAGTTTCCGAGCAAGAGATGCTACCTGGTCCTCTTCTCTGGCAGCCAGCAAGGCTGGTGCTAAGGCAGTCAGTCGCTGCAGAGGCAGCCGCCTTGCACTGCCCTTTCCTGCCCCATGAATTAAGCAGCCCCTGTGGGGAGCTTGGTAATACTTTTATTAATAGTTAATTACTCCCTCTGCCTTGCCAGAGAAATGAGACTCACTCAGGCCTCATAAATCCAAGCAGTGATCCTGCAATAAAAAGCAGCAAGGAGACTTCATTCCAGTGGCTCCTTCAGCAGCCTTGCCTACAGCGCTGGCATTTAGGGAATGACAAACGTCGGCACCAGGTGCCTGGGCGCAAGGGCGCAGAGGAGAGGGGTCTGGCTCCCGTCCAGGCACAGGCCTCCCCCCCCCCCGGGCTGGAGCCATGGCAGGATGCAAGTGGCCTTTGCTCTGGGGCTCCTTGTGGGGGGACAGCAGCCCCCTGTTGCACTGGCATGAGAAAATGGGATAGACTACTCTGGCTTGGTGAAGTTCTCCATCCTTGGGCCCAGAAACTAATAGGCAGCCAATGCAGTTGGACCAGGATCGGTGTAAAATTCTCACACTGTCTTGCCCCAATGAGCAGCCTGGCAGCCAAATTCTGCAGCAGCTGAAGTTTCCAAGAACAGTCTTCAGAGGCAGCCCCAAGCACAATGCGTTGCAGTAATCAAGCCTGGAGGTTTGTTGTTGTTTAGTCGTTTAGTCGTGTCCGACTCTTCGTGACCCCCTGGACCAGAGCACGCCAGGCACTCCTGTCTTCCACCGCCTCCCGCAGTTTGGTCAGGCTCATGTTGGTAGCTTCGAGAACACTGTCCAACCATCTCATCCTCTGTCGTCCCCTTCTCCTTGTGCCCTCCATCTTTCCCAACATCAGGGTCTTTTCCAGGGAGTCTTCTCTTCTCATGAGGTGGCCAAAGTATTGGAGCCTCAACTTCACAATCTGTCCTTCCAGTGAGCACTCAGGTCTGATTTCCTTCAGAATGGATGCGTTTGATCTTCTTGCAGTCCATGGGACTCTCAAGAGTCTCCTCCAGCACCAGAATTCAAAAGCATCAATTCTTCGGCGATCAGCCTTCTTTATGGTCCAGCTCTCACTTCCATACATCACTACTGGGAAAACCATGGCTTTAACTATATGGACCTTTGTTGGTAAGGTGATGTCTCTACTTTTTAAGATGTTGTCTAGATTTGCCATCGCCTTTCTCCCAAGGAGCAGGCGTCTCTTAATTTCGTGACTGCTGTCACCATCTGCAGTGATCATGGAGCCCAAGAAA